TAGGGTTGAAGATAAATCAACAGCAGGTTTGGAGAAGTTGAAATCCTTGCAGCAGCAGGATTGAAGACTGGCGCCAAGACTAAAGTTCAAATAAAGTTTGTGTCCAGTTTAAGCAAGACGGTGTCGTTTGGTGTAGTTCATTTAGCAGCTTTAAGTTTTATAGTGTTATAGTTGAGTCATGTCGAATCTGTTGAGCGTTTTTAGCAGCAAAGTCAGAGTGGTGTTAGTTGGTTAATTAGTGGCACCTGAAATAAAGGGTCTAGGAGTTAGTGGTTGTTGTTAGTGGCTGAAGTCTGATGGAGAACATTTAGTATTCATAGTTTCTCTCTATTATCAATAAGATTCGTCAGTTTGCAATAGCTTTGAAGTTTACACAAAGCACGTTCCAAACCATGGACTTATTATAAATCCATAGCCCAATAGTTGAAACCTGGCCTAATTTTTGCCACAGCCTTGACGCTCATTTTCTTTTTTAAGGAACCACAGCCTCGCACTCTCGTTGCTTATGAGTTCGTTTGCTTGTGGAAATTGGGTGATTGATTTGTAATTCAATATATGAGGACGTTTAGATGGGGAATTTGGATTAAAAATTCGGCTAAATCCATCATTCTACCTGCGAATCTTAGAATATTGTATGGGAAAGGATGGGTGTTACAAAATCCAAAACTTTCAAACTTATAAAATCTCGTCTCTTTACCATCTCTTATACAAATCACAGAACACGGATACGGTCATATCAGGTGGTGGTATGATTCGAATCAAGGGCTAGTAAGAAGGGAAAACTTTTGGTTGGAGCTTAGTTTGTTATTGGTGGACTCGCCTTCTTTTCTTTCTTTAATATTTAATGTTCTTAATTATGCCAAACAAATTAAAAATTAAAATATAAAAAAAGAAAGATAAACTCATTAATAGGGAACTGACATGTGGCTGATTGGATCTTCTACGTCCAACCAAAATTGAAGCTAAGAATTTTCCAACAAGAAGTCTGTTTCATAGGTTTTACCGACCTGCATTTTTTTGCCGTAACACAGGCCATATTTAGTTTATCGCAATCGGTGATTCTAATCAACCCGATACTAATAAGTGATTGTTTGAGATTTCCTTTGGTACGTATGCACAACGTGTACACAATTTTGGCATGATGATTGATATTAATATTAACAAAGTTAGAAATTAAAAAGAGAAAATGCAAGTGGTCAAACTTCATCAGCTATATAGGCCAGCTCGCCTTCCGTATTAATGCATCACAATTCACACATAATATATTCAACCACGTAAATGCACGGTGTTGGTGCTGCTAGGCGCTAGCTAAGCGTCCCGGTCGAGGAAGGAATCCGGTCACTCCAACAGATTCCCATATACTAGCGGGTTTCGGGTGAGTTGGCCGGGTCTATTTTTACTATCTTTACATATGGGTGTTTTACATGTCAAGTTGTCAAATCAATTTAAGTAGGTTCAATCCATTTGAGACATTTTATAACATTTTTAAATATATATGAAATGATTGAAATGAAATTTACCTTACACGTGCATCGATTAGAAACTCATCTTCAATAATAATAAAAAAATCAACTAATTCTAACTGCCCTCTCACCGTCCTCCTTCCCTCTTTCTCTCTCTCCTCCCCTTCACCTCTCCTCTCACTATCTCTAGCTATCAGACCAATGACTTTCTATAGATCGTTTTGGAGTCCAGTTTTAATCGAATCTAGTTCATCTTACCAGATTGATAGAGGTTTAACAACGTTAATGCCATGTATTACAGTTATATTGTACAAGAGTTTGTTCAATGGTAGTACAGAGATATAGTATGAACTAGGATAAATACACTTGTATATCCAAAAGTTTCACGGTTGTGCCAATAATATTCAAATTTCCCGAAATACCACTTATATCCAATTCCTTCACATTCTTTAACGGTGTTTTTGGATATACAAGTGTATTTAACCAAAAATATATTGGGAAATGGATAGATTTGGCAAAGAACAACTTTAAAACATGGATATAAGTGGTATTTCGGGAAATTTGGATATTATTGGCACAACCGTGAAAGTTTTGGATATACAAGTGTATTAAATCTATGAACTATGAATTATTATCATATCACCATAGTATACCTTATAATTAGTGGTGAAAATCGGTACGGTATCGGTATCCCAATACCAAATATCGAAATCCCGAATACCGAATTACACCCTAGAATCAATCTCAATCCCAATCCCTAAATAATTTTGGTATCCCAATCCCAATCCCTAAATATTTCGGTATCCCAATCGACACTTCGGTATCCTAATCGGTATTATCGAATACGAAATTAATTATCTTCACAATTAATAATTGAATATATAAATTAGATTTGATTGTTTAATATAGGGCAAAGAGACTAAACAAAGAGTTTTGAGTTTGGCTAGAGCTAGGATATGGATAAGGAGAATGGAGGAGAGGAGACATCTCAAGTTTTTGTCATTGGTAATCTTTAATTTTACGAATTGGAGTTGAGAGAAGACTAATACTAGTGTTTTGCTTTTTGGTATTATGAAAATAACAATAGATTGGTGGTTGAGGGTAGTGTAGTAGTGAATGAGAGAGTCTAATTGAGAAGATAAAATACACACTAGCTTATATTTAGGTATTGTTCGGTATTTCGGTATATACCGATCCCAATCCCGTAATTCCCTAATACCGAATAACAATTGAAATTGAATCTCAATCTCAATCCCAAGAAATAATAGGTGTATTCGATAATACCAAATATAAACAAATTCGGTATATCCCAAATACCGGTACCAAACTTCCGGCCCTACTTCCAATGAACATGTTTTGTCTCTTCTTTTACCATAGAATTCTAAAGCAGCAGTTGCAGCCTGTTGCAAGGTCAGTTCAGAAGCTGATATCACCATGACCGTTTGTCTATCAGCCAAGATTGAGAAAGAAACCGGTAAACAGACCAAAGCCATAACTTTTATTATTATTATTATTATTATTATTTTACAGTATCTCTTCTTAAATGTTAATAGCTGAACAGCTACCAGCCACCTGATGTTGACTGTCACCGAATAACTTAACCGTCCGTCAACTATCTCCAGCTTCATTAATTTATCCACAAACAACTGAACATCACTGTCCAGCTCTGCTCTGTTATTATTGCATATAAGTACTACATAGGTCACCAGGAATTGGGGAAAAGAAACCAAAATGAAAAGAAAAGGAAAGGAAGGGGTCATAAGTAGGTGTAGACAAGCATAGCCGAGGACCAATCTAACTAATCCAACTCAAACCAATCCATATCCGTAATATCTTGAGAAAATCTAATTTTATGGATGGGTGTAGATTTGAATTTTTGAAAACGGTGATATTGCGATTAGCTGCGAGTTTTGATGGTTAAAATTCGAGATTGTCCAAACTGACCCGTGATACTTATATACATATATTCGTCTAATACAAATCTAGTAATTGTCACACATAGCATTTGCTTACATTAACATAGTTATGATTGATAGATTTGTAAAGGCAATTATTAATTAAAGTGTTTACTCAAGTTGAATATCATTTTAATTATTTTATTTGTCTAGTACGAATACACATTTTACTATTATATTTTATTTTGTTATTTCATATAAAGTCATATATGTAATATTTTTCATATAAAATTATTGAAGTTAAAAATTGTATTCTCGTATAGTGGATTGAATTTCCATCCAGCCCGATCCAAACCGTGACTCAAAAAATCCGAAGTGTCTTGAAATTAATGGGTGTGTTTGGATTTATCACAATTCGATCCGTGACTCATTGGTTGGGTAATTAAAATGCTCGAAACTGATCCAACCGACCCATGTACACCCCTAGCCAGATCAGATGTGGGTGAGCAATAGCAAATATTATTAATGATTTTACATGATTTTCTATAATCTCCCCTTACAAATTGCACAACAATATCTTGAATCTCATGTATTGTACACTACGTGACCACATAAGAATTTCCGAAGGTGCACTCGTGGTTCTCATCTCTCTAAAAAGTAAAAAACATAATATCATCATAATTCATAAGTAGGGGTGTGCAATGGTCCGGTGCTATACCGAATCATACCGGATCAAATCGAAATTTGGACCGGATCGTACCGAATCAAGTATAATGTGGTTCGGTTCTTGGTCCACATGAATGTTATAATTACTAAAAAAAGATGAATCGGGCTAATATTTGGACCAGACCGAACCGACCCAAATGGACCGAATACAATGATGGTCTGATCCTTGATCCTAAGTTGTATTTCACTAATGGACCGCGGTCCTCATGAGTTTGGTCCGGTCCGGACTTGACCAACCCGTTGCACACCCCTAAGTTAATAGTCTCTCAAAAAATGAAAAAGAAATTTTGAGCAAAATCTGCCACCCGAGCCTACCTCTTATTACCCGGCCCAAAAGTTCCCATGAGCCTGCGGAGCAGTTAACGCCCTGTTTCCTCTTTAATCATTCCTTACCAACATACGAAAACCTGGCCGGCGGCGGCGTCACCACTTGAAAATCAGTCTCCGGCAGGCTCTTTGCGGGGAAACCTTACTCGCCGCCGTAAAAGATTTCGCCACCTGCTCTGCAGACCGCCAAGAGGACAGACAGTAAGTTTCTTTTTTACACCCCCCAATCTCCTGTCCTTTTCCCGTCAGTTTTGCAGCTGAAATCGATGCCCGTGAACCTACACCCAACCCGCCCGCCACCGCAGCTACCCCAAAATTGTACTTCTAATTTTTTTTTTATTCCACTTGTCGTTTCTTTCTCCCTGATCACAGGCTCTAATTCCCACATTTCTTTTCTTATTTATAGCCGATTACAACGATGCATTGAGCCGCACCTGTGCCGTTTCTTCTTTCTTCTTCGCTCTAACTCTCCCCTCCCAACTTGTTCGGATCTTCTTGAGCCGTACTGGGATACTGTTGCTGAGGGGGGGAAAAGGGTAGGGTGGGAGCTCTTTCTGCTTGTTATTTTCACTGTCACTAGTATACATACATGGCGGCGGAGAATTGGGTGAGGATGGTGACGGCGCAAACGCCCACCAACATTGCTGTGATCAAGTACTGGGGAAAGAGGGATGATAACTTGATTTTGCCCGTCAATGACAGCATCAGTGTCACTTTGGATCCGGCCCATCTCTGTACTACCACCACTGTTGCCGTCAGCCCCAGCTTTGATCAGGATCGGATGTGGCTCAATGGCAAGGTAAGCAAAAACTCCCCCTTCCTTCTGCTCTCAATATTTTCTTTTTTGGCCACCTCGTGAGGGTTTGTGTTAATTTCTCGAGATAATTGGGGCTGATGGAGTAAAATGTCAGGAGGAACCTGAAGACTTCTCCTTTTCTGGGTTCTTTTACTACATTACCATTCCAATGTGGAATTCTTGATCAAAGCAATGCTGATCTTGTTATGTTTCTTTGAGAATCTGGGCTGCCTATTAGTTAGTTTAGATGATTGAATTGTCGTGTTTTAAGTGGGGAAGAGCTCAAAGATTGAGCTCAAGCTACTCCATTGTAATGAAAGATTTGATCTTCTCTCGTTTTGTTTTAACTTGGTTGACGAAGAATGTGAGCAAAAGCAATGGAATGAATTGGATCCAGAGGAAACGATCTATAGATGCACTTATACAGTATGTAGATGCAAACATGTTTGAATAAGCATCTGTTAGATATCCATACGTTTCAAGATGGAGCATAATTGTTTCATTACTTGTGCATCTAAGCATGTTCACCTGTCTGATTCTCTCTGCCCATTAATGGCGATACTAGATTGTAAATCATGTCATTCTCTGTGTTTCCTGGTTAGTGTAGGAGGTTTCCCTTTCCGGAGCCCGATATCAGAATTGTTTACGAGAAATTCGTGCCCGGGCTTGTGATGTTGAGGATGAGGAAAAGGGTGTAAAGATAGCAAAGAAGGATTGGGAAAATTTGCATGTCCACATTGCTTCCTATAACAACTTCCCAACTGCTGCTGGATTAGCTTCATCTGCAGCAGGCTTTGCATGCCTTGGTAAGTGTCAACTTAATCAATCCCTTCTCTTTATGTTTTGAGCTATTTTTATCCTGTTCCATTTTCAATGTGCATCTTGTATTCAGCAAAATACACCTTTTCATATAAACTATGCTCTCTTCTTCCTCTGCAGTTTTTTCCCTTGCAAAGCTAATGAACGCAAAAGAAGATAATAGTGATCTCTCTGCCATTGCTAGGTAAGATTTGAGGGTTCTTTTGTTTTGTTTCTGCTTTCAAGTTGCAAACTGCTAGGTGTTACAACAATGTGAACCATTATGACTGTCACTTTTAGTGTTGCTGAAGATGTTTGCTGGAACTTATCCTTCCTTCACTGTTTATAATTTGCGGTTGTGTTGCATGTTATTTTGTTTCTTTCGTAAAATGAGCCATGCTCTATGGACGGCATGACTTTATAACCAGATATTTGTTTGATTGTTAGGTTCTGATCTGCCCTAAGTTTTAAGATGTAATTTTTTAATGTAACCTCAACTTAATGAAACATTTTGTTGACACCATAAAATGAAATCCTTGTAGGAGCAGTTTTTATTTTTCAGTGCTAGCTCAAAGAACAATTACTTGAGTTACATTACATCTATTTACTTAACAAGTCTAATATAGAAGACTTGGATGTATTCAGAATGTAAGACTTCATTGATCTTTGATGATTTTTTATCCTTTACTTCCCAGGCAAGGTTCTGGGAGTGCATGTCGCAGTTTATTTGGTGGATTTGTGAAGTGGATCATGGGAGAGGTGAAATCGTTTTTCCAATTTCGTTTTTGTTTACTTTTGATGCAAAACCAACACAGGGAGGTACTGACATTGCTTCTTCCTACCGAAATAATTTTAAGGCTAAGGATGGGCATGACAGCCTTGCTGTTCAGCTAGAAGATGAGAAACACTGGGATGAACTTGTTATTATTATTGCTGTGGTATGTTTCTCTCTTGCCTAGATCTATGTCTTTGCATTAGAAACTGCACTCATGTATTGTTCGTGATTCTCGCTCTTTTTGGAATTAAGAACTTGTTAGGATATTCTTCATAGTGGTAAACCTATCGCTAGGTTTCAAATTCCAATTTCATAGTTATAACAGTTGATTGATTGGCGCTCCTATTGCTTTTGTAATCTTGGTCTTGATTCCAAGTGCAGGTAAGTTCACGGCAGAAAGAAACAAGCAGCACTTCAGGAATGCGGGAAAGTGTTGATACTAGTTTACTTTTGCAGCATAGAGCTAAGGTGATTTGTTAAATCAACCAATGAATATCCTTCTCATTTGCATTTCATGCTAGTGTAATGTTTGTTATTCACCAATCACCACTCTTCTTTAAGTTACTTTGTTCTAGTTGAAGCTCACTTTCATTTAAGGTTTTTGGATGTTGTCTCACTCCAATTCTTTAATAGGAAATTGTACCAAAAAGGATTGTCCGAATGGAGGAGGCCCTAAAAACCAAGGATTTTGGCTCTTTCACTGAACTAACCTGTGCTGATAGCAATCAGTTCCATGCAGTCTGCCTGGACACCTCTCCCCCAATATTCTACATGAATGATACATCCCACAGGTAAGCGTCAATCTACTGCGTCACTTCATCCAACATGGAGATTTGAGTTCTGTCAATCCTTAGGCTAGTTGCTCTTGTTCAGAATAATCGTGCTTCGTTATTGAAAGGGAGTATTTGTTCCAGGTTAATTAGCTGCGTTGAGAAATGGAACAGATCTGAAGGAACACCTCAGGTTTGGTCCACTGTCCTATCTCCTATCATGATACAATAATTAGAACAAACATTCCTTGACAATTTCGATAGTGCCTTCCCAAGTCATCAACATAGTTGTTCCAATTTATTTGACTGAAGTACACCCACTAATGCAAAGATGAAAAGATTTCTAGATGAGATACTGGCAGATAATGGAACACATATGACTGAGTGTGATCTTGTAACAGGTAGCTTACACCTTTGATGCTGGTCCAAATGCTGTCCTCATTGCACGCAATAGAAAGGCTGCTGCTCAGCTCATGCAAAAGCTGCTTTTCTACTTCCCTCCTAACTCTGATGCAGACCTGAATAAGTAATAATTTCTCTTTGAGAACGATTTCTGCCATTTTTTCCACTCTTGGAACACTTACTATGCTAATATACCCCCAACAAAATAGAAAGCTTGTGCTTCCATTCTGATCAAAATCGATTTCGTTCTGTTCTCTTCCTCCAGTTATGTGATTGGAGACAAGTCAATTCTTAAGGATGCCGGGATTGAAGGGATAAAGGACATCGAAGCCCTGCCACCGCCTCAAGAAAACAAGGATGCTCTGAGATACAAAGATGGTGTTAGCTACTTCATCTGCACGAGACCCGGCAGAGGACCTGTGTTGCTCTCCGACGAAACTCAGGCTCTTCTGGACCCGCAAACTGGGCTTCCCAAATAAGTCAAATCAATCTGAGTTCTCTCTCAGTGGCACTTCAATCATCTTTTTCTGTTGGTGATAGTATTGTTGGTTGGGATAGTCTGTTGTGTGAACACGTCCCTGAATTGCTGTTAGCTAGCTGATGCTACAATGTATGTGTTTGTTGTATTGAAATTTTCTTTTTTTGTTGCTTACTCAGCCATTTTTGGGGAATGACCAAGTCAAGTCAGGTTGTTCCTCTTGGCGAAGAAGCTGTTTGTTTGGATTTCAACTCGCTATTTATTTTGATTCCGACTCCGATTCACTGAATAATAAATTCTTCAGCCAAGCATTTACGAGGTTCACCATTTCTGAGTGTCTGTTCTAAGTTTCTTGTTGCTTTCCAGGATCAGTAGGCTCCCTTTTGGGATTTGAAAAATATGTTGCAAGGTTGTAAATAGAATGATGAAAGTATGTATGAAAATGATGAAGGATATTATTTATTAGTGATTTATTTGTTTATACAGAAGGATGGCAACAGGCACCTTTTGAATTTTGATCAATCATTACTCCCATTCAGTTCATTCAGCACAGATCCTTTTTTTCTATTAAAAAAAAAAAAAATTCAGCACAGATCCTGAGACTCTTGAGATAAACAAATCCTGTTAGTTGTTCTAATTATATCATCCATGTTCTAAGCATGCTGTTACTTCTCCCTCTGATAAAGATGTCAAGTAGGCAATAAGCCCATAGGATGCGTATCATATTTGAACTTCAGGATATAAGATTTAGAGTTGTAGAAAAAATTTGTCAAGAATGAAATTTGAACCCATGCCCCTTCGGACCAGTACCTGAAACTGGCACCTTAGACCAACTCGGCCATCTTGACATTAATGACTAAAAAGCCATTATGAAGTCATCATGAAACTATATCAGTTCATGAAACCTCATTTAAATAATTGAGAACTCAAATTTTAGCAACAATTGCTGTATATATAGGTCGAGGTTAAGCTATATTTATGGGTATGTTATAAACATTCTTGATCCAAAATTAATATTTTTTTATGTTTTGCAAAGTCTCACTATCTTTTCCATTTTTTTAAGAATATTTTAAAATACAACAAACCTTTAAACTATCAATAGCTCTACTCTCATTATGTTACCAAACAATTATTCACAATTTCATCATATGTTTAATTTTGAAAGGTGTTATTGATGACACCTTTTTTTTACAATGATGATACCATATCATTATTTTATGGGCCATAAGAAAAGAAACATACAAAGTTTTCACAGATGTTTTGGAAGAACCCAAAAGAATAGAAACGTTGAGCTATAACAAGAGAAGGGTATCAAAGAAGAGCAATATGGTGACACAAAAGGAAACTGAAAAGACAGATTGACACCTAATGTTATTTCACGGCTATCATTGACCTAGAAAACTAACATTTTTCTTTAATCGTAAGAACCTTACTAATTTTCATATCATAAATATAATATTTTAGTTGGTAATCAAGATGTAAAATATCATTATTTTTTCCGTGAATGGAAAATATCATTTTCAAGTAATTCATTACGATAGAAGAAGGGGATTGCTATTCGTCGCCCTAAAAATCCTTATTCGTCGCCCTAATTATATTAAATTTACTCTAATGCCCTTAGTTTTTTTTTCTTTCAAACAATTACACACTAAAACAAATACATACATCCACTCATTGTTGGAGCTGACCACCTCACCGGAGGCGCAATTGTCGTGGTCATCACCGTCATCATCTTGCGTAGCAACTCAAACACACGCCAATAACAACAACAACTCAAAAACATGCCAATAACTTCAATCAGGATAATAGCTAGGCAGTTGTCGTTGTGGAGGGTGGGATCTTGCCCTTCAGACCGACGTAGCCCACGCCGCCGGCCGCCGCGGTGGACGTGGAAACTAGCCCTAGAGCCAACTCCAAAGCAAGGGATCAGAGAGGAGTTAATGGTTTTTTCGGCAAGATTGATGAAAGTGAGAGACAGGGTGGTAAGTGGTAAATTAGTTAGTTACTATTGACCACGTCCAAGAAGATGAAGTGGAGCAGAAACTTGTTTTCATATTGTGGCTTGAGGATCACTCCCATGGATGCTAGGTGGGTGGTGATGGTGTATGTGGCAGCTACGCAGAGTGCTGAAATGAATTAGGGCCGGGGATAAATATGTCAATTTAGTGTATTTTAGGGCGATAAAACCTAAATTTAGGGCGACAAATAGCAATTCAGTAGAAAAGGGGTTAATTGCATGGTTGGTCACCGAAATTATAAAAAACATTCATGTTTAGTCACTAGAAATATTTAAATCCAATTTTGGTCACTCAAATTAGTTAAATGGTTCAAGTTTGGTCACTCTCCGTCCAACTCCGTTAAATTTGTCCAATGTGGCAGTCAATCCTCAAAGTTGACCGTTAACTCAGTAACAGATTAAAAATTAATAAATAAAATAAATTTAATCTTCTACCATTTTCAACTCATTTTCAAAATAAAGTAAAATAAATAAAACAAAAAAATATTATAATTACAAATTTGAAAGGGGCGCTTCCCTTCTGGTCGGCGGCGCTTTACAAGACGGAGAAGACCGTGGAGGGTACGAAGGCGGCGGCGAGGGCGGTGAAGGGGGCGGCGGAGTACGCCGGGCATAAGACGGCGAAGCTGGTGGGGAAGCCGCTGGGGGCGGTGAAGAGCGTGGTGGGGACGACTGGGGAGAGCGCGAAAGAGTACATGACGAGGAAGAACGAAGAGGCGCAACGGGAACTAGAGACGAGGAAGGTAAGATTTGGTTTTGTTCAAATTGTTGAAATCAGGTCTTAATTTATCGATGATTAGCGTGTGATTTCGTCTAATTGAGGATGATAAGGAGAGAGGTTTCAGGGGAGAGCACAAATCGGCGGTGGGCGGCGAAGGAGAAAAGCGTTAATAAAGACTAATAATTACCTTCAAGTACAAGATAATGCATTTATTCTGGTGTATATATTGTGCAGCATCTGTATTCCGATTCCTTTTCAATTTTCATGTTGAAGGTCTAAGGAGATTAGTTTATCCTTATCCACCACCCAAACATTGATGCTTTAGCCACTTTTCAATTTGTAATTATAATATTTTTTGTTTTATTTATTTTAGTTTATTGTGAAAATGAGTTGAAAATGGTAGAAGATTAAAATTTATTTTATTAATTATTTTTTAGTTGCCACATCACTGAGTTAACGGTCAACTTTGAGGGTTGACTGCCACATCATGCAAATTTAACGAAGTTGGACTTGGACGGAGAGTTACCAAACTTGAACCATGTAACTAATTTGACTATTTGAGTGACCAAGATTGGATTTAAATATTTTCAGCGACCAAACATGAACGTTTTTTGTAATTTCAGTGACCAACCATGCAATTAACCCTAGAAAAAAGTAACAAACTTAAAAAATATTTTGTTGATGAGATAATCATCCGAGCAATCACGAAGTACATATATAGTGTTAAACTCATGAAACTTTTCTTTTTTACTGAAAACTCATGAAACTTAAAATGTATAGTATATGGTAGAAGACCAAATCAACCTATTTTCGCCCCTTTTGCTCCTTCCTCATTTGTCCCATGGTTGAACTGTTTTGATTGAAGCTAAAAGCCTATTATGGCTAGGGTAATTTCGGGTTGAGGACTCTGATTAAGGGTCGGGTCATATTTGGTTGGCTTATTTCGGGTCAAGTATTAATCCAACCCATTCGATTTTGGGTCGAGTTGTAGGTCATTTTGGGTTATGAGCGATCTCAAAAACAATATCAAACATATTTCATATTTTCTCAAAGAGCACAAATTTTTACATATGCATGACAATAGTTTACCTAACACATGCCAATTAACATATTCTCAAATCCTCTCATGCTAATGAAATGAAATACAAATTGCGCAAATCGTCAAAAAACAATCACAAGAGTAATACTAATACAAAAAACACATGATATTTGATTATTCTTAAACTCCAAACATGTCATTTAAATCCTTGTGTTTTTTTAAACATCTCACCAATTTATAAGTGATTTTATCATTTTGGGAGTGATATATAAAATATAACGGGTCTAACAGGTCAACCCGCTACCTCACCCAACCCGACACAAAAAATCACGGGTTATCTGGTTCATGTCATTCAGATTATAAAAATTTCTTCTTTTTGGGCAGTTTCGGGTCGAGTCAATAGATCAGGTTGTAATTTGTCATGTCTAATTATGGCACTTTAGCCACAAGATTTTGATGAATCTACTAATGAGTTGTAAAATATAAATGTTTTTATTTTTATTTTTAATAGTTTTTTAGTTGCCACGTCACTAAGTTAACGGTCAATTTTGAGAGTTGACTGCCACATCAGCAAAAGTTAACGGAGTTGGACGGAGAGTGACCAAACGTGAACCGTTTCAACAAACTGAAGTACCACCAATAGATTTAAATATTTTGAGTGATCAAATTTGAACATTTTTTGTAATCTCAGTGACCAACCATGCAATTAGCCCTATTTATACCTATAACCCCAAATCCTACTATTGAGAGCAAAATCTGCTGCCCAAATAATGTTCAAAGCCACGGTCTTATAACAATTCCTAAGCCCAACAGTTGAAATCCGGCCCAAATTTGCGCTACAGCCTCAGCGCTCTCATCTTCTTAATCCTCACCCACCAACATAAAAACCCTAATTCTCCCTTCCTCCTCGGCCCTTGCCGTCAATACTCCAGCGCAGCGCAATCTCGGGCTCTTGCGGAAAACCCTAGTCGCCGTAAGAATTCTTCCTCGACCTGCCTCCATTCTGCAACCATCCCAGCTTTCTATAATCTTAACCTCTCAATTCTCTGTTGCAGCCTCTGCAGGAAACCCAGTTCAACCGGAGGAAAAATGGTGACCGCCAAGAAGACAGTAAGTATCTTTTGGCCATGTCTACTGCTTTTTCCGTCATTTTGTAGCTGAAATCCGACGATGCCCATGATTCGTTCGCATTCTGATTATCTCTCTTTGCGATTCTTCTTCTCTGTAGAAGAAGACCCATGAGAGCATCAACAACAGGCTCGCCCTAGTGATGAAGAGTGGGAAGTACACCCTTGGTTACAAGACCGTCCTGCGCACTCTCAGAAACTCAAAAGGTATTGTATTTCGATGGAAGGGCTTTTAGGTTTTTATTATTATTCGGTTTACTTGTGTGTTCTTTCCGCATGAATCTCATTTCCTGATCTGGTGATTGTGGTGGTACTTTTGACAGGGAAATTGATCATCATCTCTAACAACTGTCCTCCCTTGAGGAAATCCGAGATTGAGTACTACGCCATGCTTGCCAAGGTCGGAGTGCATCATTACACAGGAAGTGAGTTCTCTAAAACTATTTTTCTCTATTTATTGTTTCCCCTGTTGAGCCAGGTTTTGTTTTGTGCGAAAGATTGACACAAATCTTGTGTATCAAGAGGCATATAGTAGCATGTAATGTGGTTGGATGAATTGCTACCCCTTTGGAAGCCATCTTTGGCGGTGAATTTTTCTACAAGTGGTTATGCTTGTATTGGTCGGATGCTTAATGCTGATGAGAGTTGTTTCTTATTCAGTATCACTTTGGTGAATTGTATTGTTTGTACTGCCCTTTGAAAGCGGGTATTTGGGTTATAGTAGGGTTTCATCCACTTGAGTGTAAGTTATTGTTTGTGCTTCATAATTGATTGCTTAATGCGTTTGCTGTCTGCGCTCTCTATGTAATGTAGTTATATACTGTCGAAACCTGCGTTTATTGGTGAAATTATGGTGTCTTTCCTCCATGGATTGTGGTAAATGACTTTGATACGTATATTGTTTGATCTGATATTTGCATATGATTGGCTCATTTTGATATGGTTACTCCACTGATAGTATCCCTAGGTATAGGTAGCGATCGAAGGAATTGCTCACCCCTATATGTAGTTATGTACTATCCTGCAATAATTTGTTGTGGAACAACTTTGTGATTGTATTTGACTTGCCCTTTTTACTTGGTGTGTAGACAATGTTGAGTTGGGCACTGCCTGTGGCAAATTCCACCGTGTTTCTTGCTTGAGCATCATTGATGCAGGTAATTTTCCATTCTGTACCTTTTCTTCTCTGGATTTTTAAAGTTAGCATTGCTAAGCTTCTGCAAAACTTTGCGGGTTTTTGAGTCTGGTTATGTGGTAACGTTGGTTCTCTCTTGTCAATGCCAGGTGACTCGGATATCATCAAGTCTCTCCCAGGCGACCACTGAATGCCTTACCCTTCTCATGGGATCGTGCTCCTTTACTCCGTGACGGTGCTTCTTTTTGTTCTCGAATGTGGCAGTTTTTATGTTTTAGAGTTGGATAGACAGAAAGATATGTTGCCTTGAGGGCTTTGCCCCCTGTTATACTCTTTTTATTGGATCTGGTTATGTATCTAGGTGGTAGCCATGTTTTGGTGGATCTGGTTATGGCAAAATTTTCACTGCAGTCTGAATTTTTCTAAGCACTTGTGTGATTGCTGTTTAGAAACTTCCATCCATGTTGATGGAGTTTATTCACAGCTCCTGATTACAGATCTGGGGCTTGGCCAAGGATATTGAAGGTGAACTAGGCATCGGTTCACCTCTTCGTAGGTCAGCTTAACACTAGGGTGGCTATTTGGTCCGATCTTTTTGGGTTTAATCAAAACCGGATTGTATTACCTGGATCGGAATTGGATATCAAACCATCCAATTTCATCTTTGAGCTTAGATTTAGGTAAAAAATCATTTGGACCTTATAAAAAACTGGATAAAGACTGGATAAGAAAGTTCAACACCCTAGATTTTAGGCCACTCAAATTCTTAGAAGTTCAATTAGGCCACTCAAATTCTTAGAAGTTCAATATAAAATTAAGAACGAATTGAGATTCGGACCGGGTCAAGATCAGACTGGGTCAAGATTAGAGCGGATCAAAATCGAATTGTATCCAATCCAATTTTTAGTCGTTATGTTCTCAAAATGACTGAACCAAAATCGAATCCATTTGGAAATTTAATCGGATCGGACCGTATAGCCAGCCCTGCTTAACATGTGAAGGCAAACATGACCAAAGTTTGCTGCTAGGTTAATTAGTTAACTAGTTAAACTTTACCTAAACAAATACTGGGTAATGTGTCACCTTGTCTGCTATGGTTGGTACAAACGAACCAGTGATCAAGTCGAGTCATGTGTTGTAAAACCAATTTGGGAGTTGAAGTTTTCATTAGTTCGTTTGTACCAAGTTACGAACTTAAAATGAGAGTTAACTGAAAGAACATGACAAAGATGGTAAACTTTACTAGCATGTTTAACATAAGATCCCCTCGGGAACATTGATATATTTGGTTAACTTACATAACATAATATAACGTTAGAAAAATGACACTTGGTCTCGTATCCAGTCTTTAGACTATGATACTATGATAGCTATTAGTAAAGTGAGTGCTCTTGATGTAGCATTCTAATCTGTAATTTGGCTCAATTAATTCATTGCCTTGTTTTGGACACAATAACTTGTAATGATGTAATATTGACAACTCATTATTCTGGTTTAATTTATTTTTTGTGATTGTCTTTTCGATGCGACTTACTTTTTGCATACCTTAAAATTTCTTTCACATTCGGAGATGTGATGAGATTGCCAAGTTATGATCTCTCATCCTTCAATCGTCCCCTCAACGAGTTCAGATGATTATCTATGATGCAACTTATTTCTTCACGCTTGGAGAAGAGATTACTGAATTATGTCACTCCTTATAGTCCAATCATGACTCTAATATGGGGGCAATTGGGTAATCGAGAATCAAGTTGCTGGGATGGGGAGAATATGAAGCTCATATGATTTAAAAGAAGAACCAACGAGGGAAAAAAAAGAAGGAATACCATACGCAGAAAACCACTCGTCCGATAGGGAGAGGAGAGAAAACCACTCGACCGATAGCTCATATCTATTGTAAAAGGCCTTCCCACTATCATGCGAAAGGGATAAGCTAATATTATTATTAAGTGCAATTAGTATATTCATGGTTAAACAATGCACATTTTCCTTATGTTTAGATATGCCTAGATGCTAGACATTCTGCATTTAATTAGACATCTGGAATAAGGCGACGAAGTAAAGAAGTGTCTATGGAGAGGTTTAATTAGTGCTGTCGGTTCGGTTCGGGTAACCAAAACCGAAAACCGAAAAAAATCGAGAAACCTAAACCAAACCCCGCCAACCCGAAACCGAAACCGACCATATGCTGTGCGGGTTTCGGGTACAGGAACCCGAAAAATAACTGCGGTTTTTGTTCGGTTCGGGTGAACCCAAAACCGAACCGGTTTGAAGTTTTTTTTTAAAATACTTTTGTGATTTGAATTTTATATTCTTTTGCTTGTACAACCAATTTTATTCTTATTATTTGTACATTCTTATTTAACCATTATGTTTAATTTTCTGGGACGTGGACATTATAAAACTAATATTTATACATTAGTTTATTATTAAAATATTAGTTAATTATTAAAATATTTAATTTTATGTGTTCTATAACTATAGACATACTATTAAAGAGTATTACTAGTTTAGAGACAAAGTAAAATACTTAAAAATATTTTACACGTAAATTAATCATATCTTATTTTGCTTTGTTAAGTAATACAACCTTTTGGGCATAATCATATCTTATTTTGCTATGTTAAGTAATACAACCTTTTGGGCCATTTAATTGTGGATTTTCATATAATTAAATATTTTAGTAATACCATAGGTCCAAAATTGAAGGTATATCAACTATCATATGCAAAAAAAAAAAAAGTTTGGTGTTTGGCGCAAAATTATAAATAATTTTGTTCAACATAAAATACCGACAATCATAGATGAGATTATCTTCAACTCGTAATTAAACACATTAGTTTTACAATTCTCAAATGATAACATCCAAGTAAAATAAAAATTCATCCACCATACAAGATAAACACAATTACCATTATCACTCCTCATTAGGCTCTACATCTACATAAGTCTCATCATTCTCATCAGAATTGTCGTCGACATAGTCTTCTTCCACTTGTGACATAGGAGGACTCGAGACCAAAACATGGGTAGCAGGAGAGCTTCCACTAGGTTCTGCACGAGAGCTTCCACTAGGTCCTGCAGGTGCACTTGAACTCCGAGCTTGAAAAGCTGCATATACTGGATAACATAAACAATAACAACTTGTTAGAATATGACTTGATCAAGATAACAAATATAAGAATAAAGAGAAAGATTAAGTCTTTACCATTTTGAAATACCACTTCATCGCCCTCATCTTCTCCATCAGCCACCAACTCAGAGTCTGAAGATCTTATCCAATCTTCACAACAAATCAAAGCCTCCACAACTTCAGGGGATAAGGAGGTCCTAAACGAATCTAAAACTCGACCTCCTGTGTTGAATGCCGACTCAGAAGCAACCGTGGAAATAGGAACAACAAGAATATCCCTAGCCATCTCAGAAATAGTAGGATATTTCATCCCACTTCGCGACCACCGTCCCAAGATGTCAAACTTGTATTCATCCTCTTCTGAACCCACCAATGCTCGTGTAACCACTTCATCATCTTCCTCCTCCTCAAGGTACCTATCAAACTCAGATTTGGAACTTTTTCTAGTTCCTTTCAGAATGGCCTCTCTTTTAATTTTCCTAAAATCACCCCAAATCTTCCCTTTCTTCTTCCCATCCCCACTTCCACTAGGTTCTTGCACATTTTCCTGAATCACAATGGGAGAACTGCCAGGAAGTCCGAGCCTATGCTTGTAATGGTCAAACGGAAGACGCATTTCATCTTTCACCTCTTCGACCAAAGCTTTACCCCTGCTCTCACCATATAGCTTCTTCAAAGCTTGTTCAAGATATTCAACTTTCCGCCTAGGATCTAATATGACTGCCATATAACACAACCGATTCATCTTGGAATTCTCCAACTCATCTTCAAACCAATACTTGGCAAGTTTGGACTTGATTCTCTCAGCCATGCAAGACACCTCAAAATCTATACCATCAGCCCACTCAGATATCATAGTGTACATTTCACATACCTCATCACACAAGAGGTGTAAAGTCATATATGAAGTCCCAGAAACTCGAACAGTCAGATCATAGAATAGCTTCAGGTAATCAATCAACCTGCCCACACTAGACCAATCATCAGAAGTTGTGATACCAAGGCTTTCCATTCCATAATTTTTTTCATTGAGATGTTTCTTGAATTTCTTATCATTTCTAGCTAATGTCTGAAATGCTTTCTAAATGGCTTTGCAGATTCCAACATCAGATACGTTGAGTTCCACCTTGTAGCTACATCCAACGAAACAAATTTCTTCGACACTATCTTTTCAAACTCAATGCAATCTTTAAATTTTCTGCTCCTAGCTGGTGTAGATTTAACCCACTTCACAGACTCTCTTACTCGCTCCACAGATTTACCAGTTTCTTTAAGCCCATCCTTCACAGCCAAATTAATAATGTGAGCCACACACCTCATTTGCAGATATTTTCCATCCAAATATCTGATCCCCACTCTTTCAACTGTTCCTTCATATGGATAGCAACCATATCATTGACACTAGCATTGTCCATTGTTATACAAAACACCTTCCTAATGCCCCACTCCACCAAACAACTAGCTAACTGTTTTCCAATTTCAATTCTAGAATGTTTTGTAACTTGGACAAAGTTAATAATTCTTTTATGCAATTTCCAATCTCTACCAATGAAATGAGCAGTAATGCACATATAATTGAGATTGGACAAAGAAGTCCAAGTATCAGTGGTGAGCGATACCATCCCTAAACACTTAGTCTTGAAATAGTCCTTCAGCAACTCTCTATTTTCAAAGAACACCTTGATACAATCCTCTCTAACGGTCTGACGGCTAGGTAACACAAACATTGGACAAACACGAGCCATAAACCGTTTGAACCGTTCATGTTCAACATACCTAAATGGTAATTCATCTATGATAATCATCTCCGCTAAAGCTCTCCTAGCATCAATCTGATCGAATTTCCAAGTCCCAAGAGTGTGTACCTGGCCTCCAGAAGATGATAGATGGTCGACTATCAGCTCACCCTTTTGTATCTTTTCCAAACAACTATCTTTATGATTCCGCAGAGTAGAAGTCCCATATTTAGTGGGAGCCATAAGAACACCATTGCAATAAATGCATCTTGCTTTGTCCAACCCATCCTTCTTAAAACGCTTGAAGTGTGGCCAAACGTCAGACTTTTCTTTCCTTTTTCTTGAAATTGTCTCCTCGTCTATTGTTTGAGCAGGAGGTACATTGGTGGTACCAGTAGACGGTGTAGGAGCAGGAGCAGGATCGGAAGACGGTGCAGGAGCAGGAATGCTGGTACTCTTAGAGCGTCCTCCACGTCTAGGACGAGAAGCCGATGGTGCCTCACTTCCCCTGTCAAAATGAAAAGTTGAGTTGAGTTAAAGCCGGGAATTATTAGTATATGAAAGCATGTATCAGTAACGAATAGAAAATGGACACTAAGTAATTTCTTTCCTGATTGATCGAAACTATGGTACCTAATGCTTTTGATGCACTAAATAACACAATACACTATTAGATCCCAATACACTATTAGGAAATTCAATTATCCCCACCTTTCCAATGTATCTCACTCCCATGCTATAAAAAGCCAAATCCAAGAAACCAGTTGTCTCCCAACATTCATTTACAACTTTTTTTCTAAACAGAACCCAGAAAGAAGAAGAAGAAAACAGGGGAAGATGGGTTGCAGGAT